CCAAAGCACTTTTTCGCCAGAGAAGTAGAATGATGCAAAAGCTGGCGTTAAGCAAAATTTACCAAGAACATTAGAAGATTAAGGGACAAATTGTTAATAAAACCTATAACGGTTGTCAAGAAAAAGAAGCAAGAGCTCGAGGGATGGAAAAATTCCTAATAGCAATTTGAAAGATAAGTAATCCAAGCTTAGAAGGATATAAACAGAACTTTGATGAACAAAAAAACAAATATTTAGAACAGATGACATTGTAGAGATGGAAGCATTTATTCCTATAGCACAATAAAACGGATAATGAAAAACTGCCAAGAAGAAAAAATGAGATATTTTTAGAAGGAAGCAAAATACGAGCGAATATTGCATAGTAGCTCACCGTTTCGGAGCGTATTTCATTCTTTATGGCCTCAATTCGCAATCTTTTCTCATCATTCTCGCAGAGTTGAATCTGCTGCAGGCCGTCCGTCTGACTCGTGCCGCCCGCTATGAATGCCTGTAATGTGAAAACCATAACTTCAACGCTAAAAACATTCGGCACGACTTTTCACACTCACTTTCTCCTTCACCGTTCCGTCCTTCACCGGTTCCACTACCGACGTCACATGACCTTAAATAGGATTCATGAGTAACGATATGCACGAATGTCACATTATTAGAGCATTTAGCGTTCTATAAGCCGATTACTCGCAATAAACTCTCCCCTGCTGTTGCGACACTGGTCTTAAAAGACATCCCGCACAGATATATAATTACAGTAGCGCTGTGCCCGGCGCTGTAGGCACGTAAATGAGCGAACCAGCGCGGTACTGCGCTATGACCTTGACGTTAATCAAATTTGCGACAGCCGATAACATATACCGTATTCATCAAACGACATAACGAACAACGACTGTGCGCGGCGCAAAAAGATACATACTTGAGATCGGCTGCGACATATGGGCGGCACTGCGCAGCACTTTCGCTAGCATTCAAAGTAAAAGTCGAAGGTTGTAAAGTGAAAACTCGTCCAAGCATGAAAGCGAGAAACC